TGCCCTTCTCCCCCATTCCCTCTGTCTTGCTAAACAAACAAACAAACAAACAAACAAACACAAATAACCAAAACAAAATATTAGATTATACTCCTTCAGCTAGCCCCCAAGATCCATTCCTTTATTTGACAGTCTCTCTTCCCGGGGCTGACTACCAAGGTCCAGCTGTCAGAGGATTGAAGTCGAGAGATGAAAAGCCTCCTTTGGCCCATCTAATTAACATGCTCGATTAAAACTAAACACTTCATCCTAACAGGGTTACCCCATGTACCTTTGTAAACCTCCATTGTCCTAAGGGCCACCTCTGTCTCTCCTCTCCAGCCAGAAGCAGTCCTTTGTCCCTCTCCACGGACAAATACCCTTTCCCCTCTCCGCAGTTCCTTTCTCCTTCTCCCTGGTCCTCTATCTCCTGTCTTTGTCTCTTATCCCTGCGTTTTGTTCCTCTGAGGCAAATAAATCTCCTTTGTGCAGAGAACTTGGTCATGAGTGTCTTGAGTTACACTGGGGTTCCCTACAAAAGTGGCAGTATTAGGAGGTGTGGCCTTTGTTAGTGTTTCCTCTAAGCTCTGCCCTACAGTACCTAGCAACAGCCAGGTACAAGCCTGGTTGACACAGAAGGACCCTCCATCCTCTCTCTCTGTGCTGGCTGGTTTTATGTGTCAACTTGACACAAGCTGAAGTTATCACAGAAAAAGGGGCCTCAGTTGAGGAAATGCATCCATGAGATCCAGCTGTAAGGCATTTTCTCAATTAGCGATCAAGGATGGGAGGGCCCATTGTGGGTGGTGCCATCCCTAGGCTGGTAGTCCTGGGTCCTATAAGAAAGCAAGCTGAGCAAGCCAAGAGAAGCAAGCCAGTAAGTAACATCCCTCCATGGCCTCTGCATCAGCTCCTGCTTCCTGACCTGTGTGAGTTCCTGTCCTGACTTCCTTTGGTGATGAACAGCAATGTGGAAGTGTAAGCTGAATAAACCCTTTCCTCCCCAGCTTGCTGCTTCTTGGTCATGGTGTTTGTACAGAAACAGAAACCCTGACTAAGACACACATTGTCTCTCTCCCTTTCCCTCTCTTTTTCTTTCCTTGTCCTGTCAC